ATACATACAAATACAAATAAAACAATATTCATGCATCAAAAAATATTGTAAATTAAGTACATAAGATTTATGTTGATACCAGGTAAATCATAAAATCCAAATATATGTGTACATAACCTAAAATAAATTTCAATGTGATGCTATCGAACTGCGAAAGCAACAAGAATAAACGATGTACATAGGTGTATACGTGTGTATATTTTAATTATATGCCACATAATAATTTTCTTTATACTAAAATTCCAATGAAATTATGGTTATTTATATGAATAAAATTATATGTTAAATTTTGAAAATTATGTTTTAGGCTTTTGGAAATTTTGCTTAAGAAAAAATATGAAAAAAATAATAAAAACAAAAGTTAAATTCGAGATAGAGAAAACAGGAATGCCGCAATCGTTTTGATATCTAAATTTTATCTCCAAAACAAAATTTGGTTTTTTCCATACCAAAAATCTGTCATTACTCTACTCTAAGTTATTTGGAATTTCAGAAATTATAATTTTTAGAAAGTTGTTTGAAAACGTAAACAATTTCTCCGTTATCGCAAATGTTTTAACTTACCTCTCCTATACGAAAGAACAATTTGCTAATTGTTTCAAATTAACTGTTATTCAAATTTTATATAATTACATTCTAAATAATTTATTTTTGTTAAGGCAAACTTTTGTTACGTTCTCTTCCCCTGCCTTTTCAAAGTTATCGCCAGTCAAATTGAGCAAAATCGCAAACTTTAATCAGTTATATTTCTTTTAAATTATTAGCTGCATTTAACTCTTAGTGTAAAAAGTAACAGGAAAACTTTTGATTACGTCTTTCAAAAAAAAATCTTCAATGATATTAGCATTAATAAATTATTGTGTCATTTCTTGAATTCCGCAAGCGAAAATTAAGCGCCATCTCAAAATTGTTTTCTTCAATTTTTCATATAAAGCATCTTTTAATTGTTTTCATCCTATAAATATGCAATTAACAATAATTTATTGCAATTAACAATATTTGACTAGAACCTTGTCTTTTTAGCACTTTTCCAAAAAAATTTTGAAAAATAATGCTTATTAGTTTCACTCTGTCCGTTCGTCCGTTCGTCCGTCCGTCCGTGGACACTTTTTTTGTTTACAAAACTTTTACACCCTTGAAGATAGGAAACTGAAATTTAGTACGTACATAGATCTTCACTAGAAACTTATTTCCGTAGAACAAAATTTTTATCTATCTCCCCCCTCTAGAAGTTATACCCCCCCAAAATCCTAAAAATGGCCTTTTTTAACTATTTATTGCAATGAAACCATAAGCATTTTTGAAATTTTGCAAACGCAGAAAGGCAGTGGCTTGCTTCCTCTAGCGCGGTATACTATAGTTAAACTTTAGAAAAACAAAATGGCCGTTCAAATTTACCGTTATCTAAAGTCCTTTTTTTCAAAATTTTTGATGTCATTTTTCTTCTAGACCCCAGCCTGTAGAAGCTTGAAATTTTAGGCTTTTAGACATTATAATAGTTCATTTCGTTAGTAGAAAATTTTCTTCCATCTCCACCCCCTCTCAAGTTGTCGCCTCTTGAAATTTGTAAAATTCTTTCAAAGCTTCTTCAAATTTCTATAAATGCAAAAAATTAACGGTAAATTCCATGACATTAAAAAATATAATTATTTTTCTTAACTCGCACAATTAAACCTAAAAATCGAGCATTATGTTAACCCCACTTTATATTAATTTTTGCTTTATTTCAAAGACATCCTAAATATATGCAATCCTAGAAATAGTTTTGTAAATGAATGAAAATAATTTTAATAGTGTGATAGGTATACATAGACTGTATTTAAAAGCAGAATTTTCACTTGTTGAAGGGAAAAGTGGTACAATACAAATCATTGGTTTAATCCAACTTTATTAAATTTTCAACGGTTTTTCAATTTTAAATAATTAAAACAGGAAATTTGCAACAAACGTAGCATTCACCATCGCTACAGACTTTATTAAACTTACTTTCATCAGCCCATAATTTATTTTTCCATTACAAAAATAGTTTTTATTTATGCTTTTTTGCAAATTCTTAACATCGTTTTATATTTTTTAACGATACAAGAGGTTTCTCCTTGGCAATGCACCCTCGAGTCCTGGGTCTAATAAACGTCTTCCAGCAGTTCTCGCAGACACTTCTAAATTTAAATCTTCCTTCGTTTGTTGCTGAATTTTCGTAAAAGAGTAAGAAAAGAATTTTTTTTACTTAAACGTACCATAGTTCTATCTTTTTTGACCGTTGCTTTTTTTTATTTAAGCTTCATAACTTTTCCAAAAACTGTTGGTTTGTACAAAAACAACGAGATCTTCCTACCAGGGTCGAAAATTGGTTCTTACTAGTACCTTTTTCAAACATACTCCAACTTTCATCTGGAGTTCAGTGTTTTCCTATTTTATGAATACTTCCACAATATTTCTTAGTAATATTTATTTTTTTTTAATATAGAAGCTCTAAAATTTCAAAGCAATAATTGCTAGCTTTTACTTTCAAAAATTATTAAAATAATTGTTATTTTTGCATACTGTCTTATTTAAATGTCCACAGTATAATTGAACCAGTACATTTAAGGCGTATGCTATTACGAAAACAAAAAATCCCGTTATCTGTAAAACTTTTTTTACAGATAACGGGATGTGTAAGCTAACATCAAAAAAATATGTAACGAATGCTTTTGAAATTCTGAGAGGGGGAGACAGTATGTCTCAAAAGATTAATATTGGCTAGAGATTAGCTTATTTAGCTGGCCACCAGTATATGTACTTTGCAAGCTATTGGTTAGATTCATTTATATTTTTGTTCTTAAAATTTTCGCGCGCGATAAAATTAAAAACCACTCGTTTTTTACACTGGATTGTCCCTATAAATATTTAACATATTATAACATTATAGTATTCCTAAGCAGTATGCCATTCGTAAAGAAGTATGTATAAAGCTTTAGTAAAGAAGTAAATGTCAAGCGTGCATGCCCATGATTTTCATCTTTGCAGTGAATCAAAAACTCCCGGAAGGGGACTCGGAGGAATGTTATCAAGTGAAGATGTTTCTTCCAAAAAAATTCTCTTCGTCGTTGGAAATGACTCCAAATTAAGTTCGTACTATTGTCAATTTCTTTACTGAGGATGAAGATTCACTGGTTAAGAAACTATCAAAAATACTTTAGGTTTTTGGTATATAGTACTTAACGGTGGAATTCTCAAACTAATTAGAAAAAATGCAATATTTAGAAAAATTTCAGGTTCATTATATTTTTAATACGAAAAATAACCACTTTCTTGGGCTTTATTGTATAAAGCCTCAATAAATTATTAATTCATATTTTTCCAAATTTCATACTTTTTTTATTCAATACTTATTAATTTTTTTTCTTTGTCATTTTTGCAAATGTACATAAATAATATTAAACATAATTTACACACATTATGTATGTATTCGCAAAAAATTATATAACCTAAAAACTGATCAACATTCAATATTTTCTTTTCATATTAAAAATTGGTATACCTGTAAATTTTTTGTATATATGTATATATTAAACTGTTGCAAAAACATAATAAAAACAAAACTAAAATCAAAAAATGCGTTTAATACACACATACGCACATAAATTCACTTTCAAACTTATTTTACGTTTTAGTTGCATTGCATTCAACAACAAAAACAAGAAATATATAACAAAAACGAAAAAAGACGAAGCGGAAGGCTGAAAGTAAACTTCCCAAAAAATTACATAAAACACAAGAACAAAACACAAAAATAATAATGAAAACAACAATAACAGCATAAAAACTCAAGTGACTAGAGTTGAAATCAAACTTAATTACAACAACAAAATACACCAACATTATAATATTTCTGTTATTATTCAACCTTCTTTAAGAAAAAAAAAAATGAATAAGAAACATAAAAAAGAAAAAAAATCTTAAAAGAAAAAAGCTTATTCGAAACTTAAAACCGAACGAGCCGAATAAAATTTTCCAAAAAAATTCCAAGCTGATTAAATAAGCCGTAGCTTAAATTAAGTAGCCGTTATCATAATTTTGATTATTCTTGAACTCATATCAGCTTTGTACTCATTTTGTTTTTCTTTTTCACATTTACCTTTCTACATTTGTAATACAAGCAATATTCATTCAAACTGCTGATAATAGCTGCTGCTCGCAAATAGCTTAAAGCTAGTTTAACGCAATTAATTGACGGCTAACTTGAATTAAGTTTACTATTATAGTGTTAAAGTTAAAAATTAAGTTTTAAATTTTTCCGTTTTACTTGTTTTTCGTTTCTCTTTTTCTTTTCTTTTTTCTTTATTCATGTTTTTTTGTTTTTTTATCTCTTGTACTATTATTGTCAATGTATTAGTGTTATATTCATTGACAGGAACTTTTCGATTGCCATTTTTTTATTTTAACTTGTAACTGACAAGAAGTTTTTAAGTCAGTTAAGCATAAACATTCGTACGGTTCGGTTTGCAAAGTCTTAATAATTCATGCGATCATTTTATTTCTTTTCTCTGATAGATAAGACTTTTGAAATAAAAAGGAAACTATAAATATTTAATTTCAAATTTTTAATCTTAAGAATTTAACGGAAACATTGTTAATTCATATTTTTTTTAGTTATTTTTTTATAATAATTTAAGAAAATAAATTTAAAAAAAAATAAAAATTAAATTTAAAAATATTAAAAAAAAAATCTTAAGAAATATTTAAAAAAATTAAAAATATTTTAAAAGTTGTAAAAAAAAATTTTACAAAAATTTAAAATATTATAAAAAAGTGCGAATCTAAAGGATACCAGCGCAACTTAAAATTAAATTGAAAAATAAAAAATTGTGAAACGAAATTTTTGAATAAATCTTGATAAGAGAAAAGAAAAATAATTTATTTTTTCATGTCTTAAAAATGATTCAAAAAAGGAGATAACATAAAAATTCTAAAAAAAAAAAAAAATATATGTGTGCAAAAAAAGGACTTGGCCCGAATCCTAATTAAATCAAATACAAATAAAAAATTGAATTAAATTGTAAAATTATAAGACTTTGCTCTTTAATTAAAACTTTTTTTGTAAATTATTAATTTAATTAAGTAAATTAATAAAAATTCAAATTAAAAAGGAAGAAAAAAAAAATTTGTTAATTTTTTTTTTCCTATAATAACTTAATAAAGTAGATAAACACAAACCTATAAACCTTTAAAAAGAAGGACAAATATATTTTCAAAATGGAAAAGAACTTCACATCAGATTATGATTTTGCAGCAAATATTGTTCAAATTGCATTTGATGAATTAGAACAACATCATGCAACTAGAAATTATACTGGATTAATAACAAGATATTATAGATTAGTGGAAGCTGACTATGGAGGTGAGTTTCCATAAAAAAATAAACTTAAAAAAATTTTAATAATATTTTAAAGTAGGTCAAATTTTATAAAATAAAGTATAAAAGAATAAGAAAAACTAAAATAAAATTAAATGTTTTTATGAAATAATGCCAAAAATGAAATATTTTGAGCTTTTTAAAAGTGTAAATTACAAATAAACGACATAATATTATAATGTAAATATATAAATAAGTACATTGAACATACATACATATTCATGTTGATATATAAATCTTATATAAATTGGAAACAAACTTCGGTAAAGGATTGTAATTTGTTTCGTACAAATCCAAAGAGAAAAAATTAAAAAATACTTTTGACAACCAAATTAGTATGAAAAATTTCAATGAGAAAACGAAAATCAAATTCGTTTTTATTTTTGTTTTTATTTATATTTCGTAAAAAAATCAACTTAAATGATCTCGTTTTTTTTTTATTTAACACCATTGCAATTGGACATACAAAAAAACTCACATATTTTATAATATAAAATTATAATATAAAATTTTTTTTTTCGACTGGATAAAATTGTCAATAATTGATTATAAAATGTAAAATTTAAATTATACGAGTATAATAATTTTTTTTTTAATTTAATTTACAAAACTTCAAAAATTTTTGGTAAAATCAGAGTTCGAAAACATTTTATCGTTAAACAAATTATGCGAAGATCAAAATTTTTGATGAGTTTTTAAGGGTCCGCATTATAGAACTTTTTTTAAAACAAGAATGGTTTGTTTTAAGAAAATGACCCATAATATTTTGATTATAATATAGAAGGCAGATTATATAACATAATTGATTATGACGACAAATTAAATTATTTAATAAAATAAAAATTCGATTTAAAGAAGAGAATTTCATGTAGTATGGAATTCAAGGAAATTGAATTTAACTGAAATTATTATTCAAATTTTAAGTAAATTTACAATTTAATTTAGAACAAATTTTTTTTGAAATTTTGCAAAATTCACAATATTATTGCAATTACTCTCCAAAATATTTGTTTTGTTTTGTTTAACCTTGTTTGCAAGAAAGAAACTTTCTAAAAATTAGTTCCAATATAATTCTTCTCTAATAAATTTAAACCTGTTTCTAAACATTTAATATATATACAATATATTATAATTAATTCTTAATATTTGTAAACAATGTAAAAACAATCTCACTTAAGTATTAATTTTTCCAAGATTAAAACAAAAACTAGGTAGGTACCACTTTTTCATTTAATTTAATAAATTTTGAAATTAGATTTTAGAAAACCATATTTTTGCATTTTGAATTGGAATAAAAAACTATTCCAATAAAAAAATTTATTAGACCACAAATAGATAAATATATATTTACTTAATATACATTAAGATAATTAAATTTATTGTGTTATTCAATAATTATTTTATATATTAAAGAATATGTAAACAATTCAATTAAACAAATTTCATTTTACATAAGAATTAAAACTTAATGTTCTAATAAGTTTATATTGCGTAGATAAAAATTTTGTATAACGCAAAATCTCATTGTCTTATTATTTTCAAAACAATATTTTGCAGAATATTATCTGATATTAAACACATACGTAAATTTACTAGATCAGGATATTATCTAAATAGTATAATTAAAAATAACAATAAGAAAAAAAATTAATTAACAAGTTTTTTTATAATTACGGTATTTTTACCTATTTTCAAATGTGGAAAATAAAAATATATTAAAATTTTTAATAAGGACAACTATTAATAACTAATTTAATAATTATTTTAAATGTAATTTATATGACGTAATAATAACAAAGTAAACGAACCATATTTACAATATCAATTCAAATTTCATATTTAAAATTTAATTTTGAAATGGTTTATTTGTGAGTTCTACAATATACCGTACGTTTAGGCAATCTCTTATTTCTCTTACTGCAAATTTTCTAATAAACTGAAAACAGCATAATTTAATTGTAGTGGTATGGCTATTTACAATAATTCTATAACATGATTTTAATTACTTTTTTCATTCAAAAATTCAATTATGATTAGTTTTTATTTGAAAAACTAAAAAAAATAACCACAAGATTGTTTATTTTCCTGTAAGAAGTACCGACTTTAGAAAATAAATTGCCATTATTTTGAACTAAATATTAAAATTTTTTGTTAGAATTCCACTAAAATATTACAAATAGAAAATTTAGTTCAGAAAAAAATCATTTTTACACTAGATACTGATTATTTTTATATTTAATAGATACTGATTACTTACCTTAAGGTTAGTAAAATACAATCGTTACCTTGTTTAATTATTAAATAAAAATATAATCATTTAAAATATTAATAAACAATCAAATTGTTACAATAATTTACAATTTAACTGCTTATTAATAGTTTCCATTTTTAAATTTAAATAAAATTATGAGATTTAAATTGAAAAATAAATAAAATAAATAGAAATTAAATGTTTAAGGTAAAATTTTGAGGACAAATGAATATTTTTTTTACAAATATTTTAAAAAATTTTATTAAACTTAATGCACAATTTATTATCTTAATATTTAACCTCATTTATTTATTTATCTATTTTTTTTTTTAATTTCAACTCCCAAGAAAAACTCCCGAAATTTTTTAATATTTTAAATTTTATTTCATAAAAAATCGGAATAAAAATTTGTTAAACATACAGACGCATAATACACTGTGCAGACCCTATAATTAAATCATAAACAACTTAATAACGTAAAATTAAACTTAAAGTTACCAGAACTAGTTTTTAAACAACTGTGGTTTTAGAGAATATTTCATATTTAAAAAAATTTCAATTTTATTCATTCAAAAATATTTTAACAATTTTATTTATTTTTTTTTTTTCATCACAATTTAATATTTAATTTTTTTTATAATTTAATTCCCCACTATTTTAATTATTATATTTGAACACAGAATTAATTTTGGGAATTGCAAGATTGAGATTAAAAAATAATTTTTTCATTCAAAATACACATTTTATTTATTTTTTTTAATTCAAATCTAAGACACGGTTCAACAATTAACAAGTTAATGCCACCCTTTAACACTGGTCACTCTTACAATATTAATGAGGTAGATTATTCGTCTCAAAAACTATATAGGTAAAACCTAACATCACCATCATCAAATTTTTTTTTTTTTGTTAACGATTAGATAACCCGATTTTTGATTTTTTTTTCCAATTTACAAACTAAAAAATAATTTATACATAAATGTGAAAAACAATGGCTAAGGCAACAACAAGAAGAAAAAAACCAAAATCATCAAACAACACAAAAATAGCGCACATGTACGTGCATTTTTTGATCGGTTTTGTATTTGTGGATTCGCGCATAGTTTTAAAGGTTTTTTTTTAATATATCAATTTTTTTTTTCATTTTTTTAAGCCTGTGTAACAAATTTTTCATTTTCCTTTTGGTTTTTATGTATATATTTTTTTTAATTTAAAATAAAAACTGAAATTGCAACAAAATTTCGGAAAAAAAAACAAAAACATCAAAAAACTATCATCTCAAAAGTTTCTATACATTTATAAAATGGCAGTTAAAGTATTTTAACATACATAGATTACGAATTATTTTATTGTTGTGGAATGAGCTCTAAGCGGTGTATAAAGAAAACCTGTATTACAGTTAAAAATAAAAATTTTTCTTAAATATTTCAAAAAACAATTTTAGTACATTTTTTTTTTCATTAATCATTTAACATGGCCGATTGAAAATTAATTGTGATTGGCGTTGAAAAATAAAAGAAACCAAAATGCTATTAAATAAAAATAGAAAAAAAATAAATTCCTAAAATAAAATGCGTAACTAAATGCGTTTGGTTTGTTATAAAAATGCAAAGAAAATTTGAAAACTCTATAACAAAATTCAGACTAATTTAAACTGGTTTTTAAACCGAAAATTGCAAAATTCAAATAATAGTATAAAATGTTCATGAAAACAACAGTCTAAGCAAATCAAAAATAAGTCAAAGACAATTTTTCTTTGTATTTCAAACGTATTTACGTTCTATTTGTTTCCAATAAAATTATGAAAATTTTTAAACAATTTTTACAATAGGTATTTTTAATGCAAGTTAAATTATATATTTACTTATACAATTTTTATACATAAATATAAAAAGTCCCATCTCTTATTAACTTCAATGGTTTTAGCTTAACCAAATTTTCATAAGGCAATTTTTATAAATGCCGAATATAAATTTATATGAATAATTCAAAAGAGTTAAGTGAGAAACTTGGTTACAAATGAAGTGATATAGGTTAGAAAGCCGCATGCACACAACTTTCAAAATCAAATCCGAAATTCAAAATAACCCTAAAATTACTGAAATAATTAAAATCAGCAATTTACAAAATCTAAATTTTTTAATTTTAATGAATTTTGAGGACAAAATTAAATATTTTAATAATTATATTACAATAAAATCTGAAAAAAATTAATAAATAACACTAATTGTCCCACTTTTTATTTAATAAACATTTTTAATTAGAAAAGAAAAAAAAAATCAATAAACAAAATGAAATCAACTATCAACAAAAGTGACGTTTAAGCTTTCTTCTTTTCTTTCTAATTTTTTTACTCAAATTCACATTCAAAAAAGCATGGAAATTCCATATCGGGAACAAAAATTAAAATTTTTCAATTTCCTATTATATTAGATAAACTTGACATTGACATCATAATAAACATATATGAGCATGTTTAATAACAATAATAATTTTCAAATTCATAAACTGGGAAAGTGTATTTCTTTCTATTCTCCTTCTTTTTTTTTCTCATTTTTTAAAACATTTTTCCTCTTAACGCAATGCAATGCTATCAAATATTATCAATATTTTGCCTCTCTTTCTTATTTTCCTCTTAAACTATTAAAGATCAAAAACTTAATATACCACTGACATAATCACTTTGCCATGTAATATAATATGAAAACAACAAGAAAGAAAAAAGTTTATATGG